TGTTTAAGCCAAACAAGAACCCCCCCCACCCCTTCCCTATCGGCCCGGTCTCCATTTCACGGGGCGAGAATGTTTTGGCGCATTGTACAGGGATGCACGGATTTATAGCATTGGCATGGTCTGGTTAGAGACACGTGAAGAATCAGCAGGTGTTAGGGAGGATTAGATTAAATTATGGTAAGGTTTTGCAGATAGACCAAAAGTTGACGTGTGGCGCTTTGCGACGATAAGCCTGATGTTTCAAATTTGCATGCATGTTTGTGAATGCCTGAACGACTGGGCCATTTTGCCCGAGACGTAATTTTTTTGTCAGCATGTCGTAATCAAATGTTTCATGATTTCAATCTTAGACGTGTAGACAGGACAAATTTAGCACCGTGTAAACGACAGACCTATGCCTTGTCTTTCAAGCGTCTTCACCAAATCTGGTTCAAGATAGTTGTCTAAGATGTGGTTCATATGCGGTTAACATGTCCAGAAACAGGTGGCATGCGTTATGATGACATTTGGGTTTCAATACATCCCATGGCATTTGTACATGCATGAATTGGGTACACTCATGGTATTTCACGACATTATATTGCATCGGTTTGATATATGGAAGCATGATGTGTGTGGTCTGTGGACGGTGTTGAGAGACTTTTCGGAAGCCACGTGCGCCGAAACCATTTGCAGGTCGGCTCGAGACCTTTGGCGGGGGGTTCTTGTGCGGCCGCTGCAATGGTTGGTCCCTTACATTAGGGTACATGTTCTCCAACTTGGGGATATGTAGCATGTTTCCCATTGCGCATGCTTCCAAAGAACGTCCAAGGTTGCAAGTACAAAATTTGAATGTTGTGTGTCAATGATGGTTATTTGGGTTGGAACAAGTGAAGCGCAATCCGTTGGCAGATTTTTGGTCGTGTTGGTGAGGCCATTCAAGCACGACACCCACCGCGCTTAATTCGTCTTTCTGGCCCCGATTGTGCTGTCTAGCGCAAACTCCGATGCAGCACGTTGATGTGGGGGAATTTTGTTTTCTGGTAGCGATTGCCAAGCAAGCGCAAAAACAGTTTTTGTTGGGAGTAAGGTTGCTGTCGCCAGGTCCGGACACCAGCCCTCCGTTGCCGAGCCAGGAACAGGTTGCCCCGCCGGCAGTGATGATGTGTTATGAGCCATGTCGTCTATTGAAATTTTTGTTTACCCGAATGATGTGGGTAGGCAGCTTGGGGCCGTGCAGGTGGAGCGGTACCTTGCACTGCTGAGTTGCGAAAACTCAGAGGCTGGCTTTGTTGCCGCCAAATCATTCTTGCAAGGCAAGAGACGAGCACATAAGTATACATTGGGTTGCATAGCGGGGCAGCTTCATTCCAACCTTGGCGGTTCCGATTGCCTTGGAGCGCCGTAGTAAAATTGCAAAATCATGAACGGATGTTGAAATACCATGTCTTGTTCGGAGTTTGAATGATGACAGGTTTTTTGTATGTGATGAAATTGTGTGAAGAAAGGGAATGTCAGCGATATCTTAATGAGAGATGACAAAACACAAAGCTGGCATGACATTGTGTTTTGTTTGTAGCTGCGATATCAAGACTGCAAGTTGTGGCAATACGAAACATCACGATCACGAATCGGCACTGTAGGAGGCAGGCCGTCACGGATTTGGGATTATATCTGTAAACGCGATTATCGCTCCCACCTTGGCTGTGGGGGTGCGCAGAAAGAGAAGCTCGTCTGAAGCATGTCAGACCACTTTTGCGGACTCCGTACGGAGTTCGTAAATTGAAAACGGATGGAGGGGGGGGCGGGGCACGAAAAATGCATTCCGCAAGTTCTGGAATGTGGCTTGACTGGGTTGCCTACCAGTGGAGGGGCGAGGTCGGGTGATCAGCAAGGGAGAGTATCGGTTTTTAAGCGGGTTCCAAACGCCCTAATGCTGGGCCAGCTTTGGCGAATATCGCCTTAACGGTCGCAGATGAGGTACCTTGGTTTCTTTAGTGTCCTTCCTTTTATGTAGGTGGGCTTGCATCGATGATTGAGGTAAGCTCGTGGTATTGCCAACGCAACACTGCAAGGGCTTGGCTACCTCAGCTCAGACCGCAGGAAGATGCGTCAAGCAAGGGAGTGTTCCTTCTTCGCATTTGGGAGACCAAACACTTTTTCAGTTGTATTCACAAATGCTGCGTGCAATGATTGGCAAACTTGTGAGAATTCCCAGGATATGGGCAGGGGGTAGAGAAGCGTAACCGCTTTTGGGAACAGTGGCAGAGGGGTGAAACGTGAACTATGTAAAGACATGCGGCTTGGGTGCAGGTTTTGAGGAGCTCAGACTTTCCGGTCACGGCAACCAGCATCTTCACTTCCAAGAGCCGCTGACTTGAAGCTTTTTTTCTTCGAATGCCTATTTTTCTGCTTTGAATGTCTTTGCATTTGCCAAGGTGTTTCCCACTCCTTGGACAACTTGGCCTTAGGAGTTCGCTCCCGAGAGGCTTCGCATTCTTATGTGCGTCTGGTGACTCTGCTTCTGGAGGTCTTGGAAGCATTGGCGAGGATACCATCCCAGTTCGAGGTGTGATTTTGGCTGCAAGCTAGGGGTATTGACCAGGATGTCTTCTTGTCAAGTGCAGCAGGTTTGCAATTACAAGTACGGACTAGTGATTTCCGCTCCAGGCGTTTCAAGAGGAGTCCACACCCCAGCATTCTGCTTCGCAAAGTCAGGCAGAACACCTGCACGTGGAGGAAATGCACACGTGTCGAGTAGCACTGCCCCGTTTGGTTGTCTGTGGAGGCATTTGTTGAGGCAATAGTGCGATTGTCCTTGAGTTGCCGCTCTCAAGCACGATATTGATCAATCTAGGCAAGCATGGCGTTAATCTGTGCATGTGCGTCTGCTCACAGAAGGGGGGGAAACACGATTGACAAAGCATAATACAGGTGTAAGCACCTGACCCATGGCCGTGGCGCTTTGCAGGGCAAGACACTTTGGAGCTGTGGTCTAAGAACACGCTGACTTCCAGCAGCAGGTCTTTGTGCGTCTACAGAGTTTTGGTTGTAACTTGGGTGCCTTGCGTAAGGCCAGCTCACTGAATGGGAGATCCTGAAGCTGACGAGCTGCTGCCGGGGTCTGATGCTGAGCATCCCGGTTGCCTGTCTCGCGAAACGTCGTTGTGTCGGTCATCGAGTCTTGTTCAGGTTGTAAGTGACTCGGTTCAATAATCGTTCTGCAGTTCCGTGGATTGTGCTGGAGGGGTCCGAGGTTTTGTGGGTATCATGACTCGAGCTTCGAGAGCATAGTGAGAAAGACAGTTGGAGCAAGAGTACGCTGCTGAGGAACATCTACATTCGCTGACACTCAAATGTCTGGCCTCGAAGCATTGTATTCATTTGGCAACAACTTTTCTGTTCATCGAAAAATAAGATGTGAGCGCAATATCTGAACTATCTTTGTCAGGAATCCCTTGATCTTTTCATTGCAGTGTCACCAAGGGCTCAGTGCTGCCACTTGCCTTGTGTTCAGATCCTTTAGCATCCTTGGGTTGAGCCTGAGGCTAAGCTCAGGATGTCTGAAACAGCTGTGGCTGAAGAAGTGTCCTGCGTTGCTGGCTGAAGATGTTGCGAGTTCTATTTTGAATTTGGCATATCTTCAGTACCTTGTCCCACACCGCACAAACTGGCATGAAGCAGGGGCTAGATGCCGGCAAGAAATCCTTTCAAAAGCACTTGCAGGAAAACGTTTCTTGGCGGTAAATGTGCTCTAGTAGCTGACTATTCATGAGTGCGCACAAATGGTGACAAAGGCATAGGCGACACTCTGGCGATAAGCCGGCTTCTCATCCGGCCTTTGTTTACATCGGATTGGTTGCCATTCAGAAGCAGTACAGAAGCAGAGCTTCTGAATTCCATAGAGAGCACATGCAGTCAAAGGCCTCAGTGTTTGTCCACGTCTACCAAGGCGTCGATTTTCTTTGGCTTCCAACTTCAGCGATATTTTTGCTGATGCCGCAGAGCAGCTTGGCCATGCTTGGCTCATTCGCTGTATGGATCTGCCTGACTACATGCAATGCTTGCGGGTTTTAAAAGTAGCTTTTCACTGTCTGACGCCTTCGTGATAGTGACCGCCACTTGCTGTGATCTCCATGTGATACACTACCCACAGAAAAGCTTTGAGTCTATGATGAGTCAAAACCTGTTTCCAAACACCGTGTCCATGGCATATGGCAGGGCGACAGCCTGTGCTGCAGAGGCTGGCGAACAAATTGTGAAACCTGTTCCGAGTATGTGGCCGTTTGCTTCGAAGGTGTCCACACGGCATCAAATCTCGCCAAACGTGCAGGTCTGGATCCAAGTCCGAATGTTGGTTCTCTGTAGCCTGTGGACCATCGAGGCCTGGTGAAACTCTCAAACTCAACTTGCAACTGCCAGGCCCTGCTGGACTCTTTAGAGTCTTTAGCGGAGGCGTGGCATGAACACCCGGTCAGGCATAGGCAGTAACGGGCTTTAATGACGGGTTCCCCGGAGCACTTCGGCAAGACAAGAGTCGCTTCGACCCTTTTGAAGTCGAATCTCGTGTTGTCGTGACATGACGCATGTTTGAGGCAGCTTCGACGCTCATCCAGGCAAGCGAAGTTGAAGAGGCCCCATTTCAGTCCAGTCTGTCTGTTCTTCTGGTCGTGCAGTGCTGGTGGTGGATGGTGGTGGTTTAGAGTCTCCGTGTAGGTAGAGTGACAGTCTGCAGCAGCATCAGCAGCAGTAGCAACAGGGGCAAGAGTGGGCATGGTCGTTGCCTTCGCCGCGGCGGTGGCTGTTGTCGTCATCATTGTCGGCACATCATGAGACATGCTGCTGGTACCAGCGGCATCAGCAGCAGCGGCGGCAGCAGCTGTACGCATTAGTAGAAAGCTCGGAGCCCAACAGCTCGATCCCAGGTCTCCTGCTTGAGAGTCGAGATTTCTTCCTAGGGTGGTATCTAAAAAGTGCGGTGGCTGAAGCTTTCACGTTGGCACATGTACTAGTTTAGCATACCTTGCATCAACCTTGCTCTATCTTCTTATCCTAGTGTGTCCATTTTTTTCAGGGTGGAGAAGGGCATTCCATGCAGGCCGTGCAACTGTTGGAGCACGCGTTCTCAAAGGTCGAGTCAGATGACCAAGTGGACGAGGCAGACGGGTTGTCTATTGACACCTTGGTGCCGATTGGGCGAGAATGCACTGCAGGTGGCTTTGGCCAGGATCGGGGTGCAGGTGCTGCTTTGTGCGAGCCTGTCACAGGCCACAGAATTTCGTTCTTATTGAAACAGCCTTGTACTCCCACAGATCCAGTACTGAGGAATCCCCCACAGATGTAATGATCAAGATCCAGTTGCAGCCTGGGTCTTTACGTGCACATATACTAGATTCTGAAGACATTGTCATTGCACTTGCAGGTGTCAGTGTATACGAGGGCGTGTCTCCACTTGTTTCATTCAACAGGCTGCTAGGCATGCTGAAGCCCTTGACGTGGCCGAAAGTGCAGCAGAGGCACCGAGTCAAGTTTTTGCTGACTTCCAGGCTACGACTGACTTGCCAGGCTTGAGCATACACTTCCCTTCAACAAAGCACTTCAACAGCCGATTGAGTCTAACAATCAAAGCCCTTTTACAGAATACCTGTGCTGAGCCGCTACAGCTCCTGGCACTGGCGCCTGCAGGCAGCCGATTTCGTGATGTCAGAGCTGTATGAGAAGGCACAGATACAGCAAGATGATCAACAGCTTTGATCGCGTGTTCGGGTGTTTACTAACAAGACGTTCTGTCGGATTTCTTTAGGCTCGGAGGCCTTCGATTGGCTCGGAGGAGGTGGGAACCTGCCGCAGAGCGCAGCATGGACCCTCGAGAACAGCCGAGTTCCAGTCAAAATGCCATATTCTACAGCCAACAAACCGCAGCCACAACAGTATGCGACCACTTGCGCCGACTCATGCATGCTTGTCAGCATTTGTTAACCGACGGTGGATACAGGCAGTGACAACGAATCATGCGCTTCGGCATGCCAACTGGCGAGTGGGTATTGTTCAAGCTTTGGCCACCTTGGACACTGCATGATTGCTGGAGACCAGCTATGGAGATGCTCGTATCAAACTTGGGCACAATGGTACTGCCCAGCATCGATTGCCGTACTGTTCTTCGGGACAGCTTAAGCGCACAAGGGCCAATTGTTCTTGAAGACCAACTCGAAAGCAAGACAGTTTCAGGTTGTAGTTGCCGAGGCCATAGCATCCGGTACAGTATCTGTCACGGCGCGAGTGAAGGTGACATGTCTTGACGTGCTGCGGGCATTCATGCTTTCAGCCTTACATGTAGCTACGGCTGGAAAAAGAAGCCATTGCGGGGCATTGTGATTCCCGGCGCCCTTGTCTGCTCAGTATTTGAAGCAGCGAATGCATGCCTGATACGTTGTGGGATGAAAGAGGGTCCTCCCGGGCGTCTGATCGTGTTGGGGTTCGCAGACAGCATCAGCAGCAGGACTTGGTGTTCAATTTCTTGCCCTGCTAACGCAGCGGCAGGGGTTGATCTGGTGCGAGCCACGCCCACGAGCTTGTCTTCCCCGCACATGCAAGTCTTGGTAGGAGCTACGAATAGTAACGTGTTCCTTTCCAGCCAGCCTTGGGACAGGATTGTGCCATCGTTTGCGTTGACGATGACATCTCCGCAAATTCGGGTTGTGCAAATGCTTCATTGCTTGGAATAGTCAGATCGGCAACGATGAAACGATGACCTGCAAGCACTTGTGTTTTGGTCACTGCTTCACTGCCATTCATCTTGCCCCACAACTGACACGACAGGCGAATCACGTGTGTTGGAGCATCCCATTTGTGAACAGTTCTTGTTGTAGACAAATCACAAGGCAGAATAAACTCAATGGCATGAAGGCGGGAATCAACATCACCAAAACTTCTTGCAAGCCTTCCTGCACTATCGCAACAATGCAGCTTTCACGGACTGAACCATTGGTTTTTCATGTCGCTCAATGAACCAGAACTAGTAAGGGCAAGACTGGAATCAACAAATCTATCGCTGAGTTGCCGTCACGAAGTGAAGTCCAGAGCATATGAAGCCCACAGATCAGCCACTTCTTGATTGCAGTGTGTGCGCAATTTCCGTTGCCAGGGAGGCCCAGCCTCGCGTGCTTTGTTGCATCGGGCGGTTGAGATCGCTGACCCTGCCTCATTGCCGAAGAAACTTCTTGCTCTCATGGTCTATCTGTTCAGACGTTTTTTTCAGGTTCAAGCCAGGCAGTGCCAGGCACTGGAGTTAGAATTCCAGCCGTCCTTCACTGAATTTGAGTCAGCCTTGCTTCAGAGCACGCAGTTGCTCTCGGATTTGTCAATCTTAGGCCCAATGACATGAGCAAGATGGAGTTCTGGGAACATTTGCGCCAACTGCATGAGCAGAGCCTCTCTCTCGCGCTTGCCTTAAGTGGAGCATTTGATTCCCACGCGCGTTTTGAGTCAACTAGCTGCTGTGGTTATACGCAAGGCCCAGGCTTTGCCAGCGCACAGCGCAGTGCGGCTCCGTGCTGCGCAGGCCAAGCGCGAGTGGCAGGCACTTGCAGGGGTTTTTCAAGACCTTGTCAGATCTCAGTTGTCCCCATAAACTGCTCAGATCCGAGCTGCGGAAGCGACCTTGCCCAAAGCTCCGTCACAGACTCAGAGCACCCAAAATGGCCAACAAAAAGCTCGTAGCTGAGGCTTGCATCCTCGAGTCTGGGCCAGAACGGCTCACTCCAGGCCTGAAGCGGCTATCAGAAGCTGTAGGATTCTATAGCATCCTCATTGAGTGATGTGTATGTAAGTGAGAAGTTTGCTGCAAGATCATCTGTCAAGGTATCCGCATTTCACTTGATGATTTCCAGCAGCTGTTGCCTTAAGGTTTGGCGTTCAATCTTGGGACCGCCGCCCAAGTGTGCAGTGCGAAGGCAACGCTGCTTCTTCTTTAATTCCTTTTGTCTTCCGGTAGAATGCCGAACACATTTTCTAGGTCGGACGCAGGAGCCGGTCTCCCCAAGCACCAGCGGATGTACTTAGGCGCGCCCTTGAAATTTCCTGTGCCATGCATGAGTAGCAGGAGTGGTCACTGCTTTATGGTGGAGCCATTGCGTGACTCTAGCCAATAAGCTGGGCTGGTGGCAGCAGGAATCTGCTCCATATGGCTGAGCACAACTTTGGCAGGAATCCCTCCTCCCGTCGACCTGGATTTCGAGCGCTGGCGAAGGATATGTCCACATGCAGCATGGGTTGTGTACGATAGACTGTACTTGCCAGGTATACCATGGACAGGATTGGACAGGTTTCATTGATGGAGAAAATCACACAAAATGGCTACTTAAGGCTTAAGGCCACATGACGCGTGCTGATGCCCAGGCATCCAAGCCACTTCTTTACCCTGTATAGATTTCCCCTGCTGCGTGAACTGCCTTTCAGCATAGTGCTGGCTGATGAAGCAACAGGGTGTCTCCAAGCTCGTTCTGCGGAACACAGGCTTGTGCTTGAGCAGTGGTTCCAGCATCAAAGTAAATATCTTCTGCCGGAGCACAGGATTTCCCACTTCCTAGCTCAGCGTTTTTTGAAACTCACATGCTGTGAGCAATCCGACGTTCGATCTGGCACGGCAAATGTATAGGAGTCTCCAAGGCTAAGTGAGATGCAACTGTAGCCATATCGCAGCTCGCTAGAATGTGCCTCTCTTCCCTTGCCTCACATTTGTAGCTACTTGAGTCGTTCCTCACGGCAAAGTGCTTTCGGGTTCGCTGCTTCACAGGCGTGTGAATGTTGGTGATCCACGCCCTGACAGTATGGAGACGCTGAGGCACCTGCACCTCAACGGTTGCAAGATGTTTTAAGAATCAGGGATGATATGCCTAGATTCCTCGCATGCTCTGAGTAGTTGTAAGTTGTAGGCGCTAGCACAAGCATGCCTTGGCTGCAGGGCCTTGCTTTGGGGATTATAGGTGGGTGCTGCGAAGTGAGGGTGGCGTAATGTCAAATATGCGTGGGATGCATGCATTTCATTGTGTGCCCTTGATGTTTACAAGCTTAGTTCTGTCACGCCGAATTCACTGCCAAACATGTAGTGGCTGGTAGTCCGGTTGTAACAAGTGCGTTTTCGCAGTCGTCCCAGCATTTTCATCACCTACCAAAACCAACATGTGATGGTTGCAATTTCGAGAGCTTTCCGTAGCTAGCCACACTGCGCTTGCAGCATGTGCTCAAAAGTCTACGGAAAACCTTACCTTTGCAAACCAATGTGTGTGCGCCTGCAGATTTGCGTTCAGACATGCAATCCACTCCTTTGTCCTTGAGGCAAAATGAAAGGTAAAGCTGAAACACTAGAGCAGGCTGAGTTGTCTTATATCTGAATGCTGTTTATGTACATTGCATCTCCTGGATAAGAAATGGGTCTGCCGGGCATAGGGTACCCTTCGTTTCTCAGCTCAGCAGTATTTTCACATCTCTATTAATTTCAGAGCCCCAGCCGTAGGTTACTCTTCATTTCTTAGCTCATTTCTTATTCTGGGGTTCGAGCCCCTGAACGTTGGTATGCCTGGTGTTGGGAGATTTGCCTTTTCCATTAGGCCATGCAGCCTTCAACCTTCAATGCGCAATTAAGATAAAAGCTGTTTTAGAGGGCCTGGAACACCCTTCTGTAAAATAAGAAGCGTAGCCCCCTACATTTCTTGTTTTAGCGCACTCAGGGGTGGGCCTAGAGATAGTTGATAGGAGAAGGTTAAAACCACCAACTTAAGAAACGAAGCCCCCTACATTTCTTATTTTAGGGTGTTTGCGGGCCTGGAAAACCCTTAAAATAAAAAACGTAGCCCCCTACATTTCTTATTTTAGGGCGCTCAGGGGTGGGCCTGGAGATAGGGGATAAACGTAGCCCCCTACATCTCTTGTTTTAGGGGTTTTGCGGGCCTGGAAAACCACATGAACAAGAAACGTAGCCACCTACATTTCTTCTTTTAAGGGTTTTGCAGGCCTGGAAAACCATCAAAATATGAAACATAGCCCCCTACATTTCTTATTTTAGGGGGTTTAGGGGTGGGCGGGGTAGGGGGCAGGGTTAGGTGAAACCCCCTAAAACAAGAAAGGTAGCCCTCTACATGTCTTATTTTGGTGGTTTTGAGGAACTCTAAAATAAGCAGCTGCATTTCTTATGTTGGGGTTTTTGTGGCCGAGAAAGCCCTTAGAATAATGAGAAACGTAGCCCCCAACATTTCTTATTCTCCCGCTTTTTAGGGCCTGGAAAGCAACTAAAATAAGAAACGTAGCCCCCCTACATTTTTTGTAGGGGTTTGGGGAACCACTTTGGGCCAGGGTCAAATAAGAAATGGCCCCAAATTCTTGGGTACCTTTCATTTCTTCACTAGAAAGCAAATGTTTTGCGTGTCATCTAGCCGACATAGCCCCTACATTTCTTAACCAGTCATTTCTTGTACAGTGGTTGCACTGTATTGTTTTTGTAGAAACATCTGCAGATGTAACCGCTGTCCCGACAAAGCTTCTCGCTTGGCCAATGCAGTTCCACGTCGATGCCGTCATTGCAGAAGGCTGCGAGTAGCGGATGCTTCTGCTCAGGTACTAGACATGCAAAATTGGACAGGACTGCAATGTGCTCTTGAATGTGACATGCCGATTGTAGATTGCACTTAGCGACGAAGGTCCATGGTGTTCAACCATTCAATCTAGAGTCCTTGATATGGAAGAACAGCTGGAAGCTCTGAGACCAGGGTCTTGATGAAGTTTCCTCGGTGGGTGCCCCAGAAAGTTAGTCCTGCCAGAGTGTTGGAGAATCTTGCGCAAATTCTGGTTGGTTGGTTTCAGCATTTTTTCGTTTGTTTGGTTTTGTTTCGGACTTCTGTCTCAATACAGCTGTATCAGCAGCTTCTGCAGGCCCTCAAATGCTGCCATGCGCGTAGAGGCAAAGCACATGCCGAACGAAGGCAAAACCTGGACACATAGACACAGGACAAGACAGGCAGGAAAGAAGGGAGCATGAAATCAATAAAGAGTAAGCAAGAGAGAACGAAGGAAAGAGAAAATCAAAGAACGAAGCAATGATATTTCGCTCTGGGGAGGCGCATAGTCTTGAGAAGAAGAAGAACCACGACGATGGTGACAATCACGATACCTGAACGGAAAAGCGATGATAAGCACCTACTGGCAGGAAGCACATTGCTTTCCACAGCTTAGCGGGCTGACCAGACTAGAATCAAAAAGAAGAGTCCTGCAAGAAGAGACCGGCAGCCAGCAAAAGGGGTAACAGAATCAGAGTTTGCAAAGCTGCTCGCATCCAAGCACATGGTGAGGCTGTGTCTATCGAAATGCAGAACAAGTGATGTGCCTGGACAAGGCAGGTAAATCATTGAAGCCCATGGGGAGGGGCTGCCTCAACAGCTGCATAGCAAGCTTTGTTGGACTTGTTGGATGGAAGTTCCTCCTCGCAGCACACTCTTAAAGTGCTGACATTCCAACGTAGTCAGGTGCTGTAAGGGCATCGGAACATCACGGCATCCTTGGCACATGACGTGACCAGGGCGCTCAGAAAAGGGTCCATTAATGGATTGAACTAGGGTGCTTTGTGCTATGGTAGAAGATGGCGGACGTCCCGTCAACGTTGCACAAGGTCCTGAGCCAACTGTGGCAGACCGTGGAAATCACAATGACAAGCAAGTCGGGGATCAGACATCCCATTCAATAACCACGTCAAGGTCGGATCCTCCAGACGGGTGGCTTAGATGATGTGCAACACCAACATGGTTCGCGGGGCAAAGACACTTTGGAAGTGCAAAGTGAGCAGCCCGATATAGCCCGAGCCTGCTTTTTACAACATTCTGCCCCAGAAGTTGGGCAATCAGGAAGAGCTTGAGCTGATCAGGATGGTAGCATGCCATGGCAATTTGCGCTAGTGTAATGGTGGACTAACGTGCCGACGCTCCCAAGCCCAGCAGGCGCAAACAACCGCCGGCGGTCCTATGCCGATAGCTTTGGAGCAACAACATCCGTGATATAGTCTTTCAACCGACGTGTTCAGCACCAACCACGCGTGCTTGCGCGCACGTTGGCTTCCATCACCCATCCCATCACAGGCAGCCCCAGCTGTCAGTATCTCACGATGGGGGAGGCCAACAGGATGGCTGGAAAGTAAAGTAATTACCAGCAGGTACCAGTCAGTCGTAGTAGTTGGTTGTAAGTTGTAATTGCTTCTTTCTAGTTGGTATGACGGCTTGACGCCTGAAATTCAGTAATAGTGCTTCTTGTGATTAAAGAACAAATGACTGTAGAACATGGCAGCTATAGTCAACGATGGAGGCATTCACCACACAAGACCCACTCAGATCCATATGCATGAGCAAGACCTTAAACGATTCGACGGCCATACGAGAAAGTGCAGGTCAACAGCGCCAGTCAGAGTTTCAAACGGTGAAAAGTTTTAAGCGATGCAAAGCTGTGCAGATCAACAGTGGCGGTCACAGATTTGAGCGATGAAAGCTGTGCAGATCAACAGCGCTGGTCAAAGTTTTAAGCAATAAAAACCAATGAACGGGAAGAGGCAAAGTTCAAGCAGGCAATCGAGAGGTACGGTTGTTCATGTTTTCCGGGCCTTCAAGGGAATAAGTTTCAGCATGTTGATCCGCATAAGTCAAGCTGCCGGGGCAGTTTTGCCTGAAATCGGATCTGGGTCACAGAACTTCGGTTCAGTGCAACATAGGCTGAGCAACAAAAATGTTCTGTACCCTCCATACAACCAAAAGTCGTAGCCCTTAATCTTCAAAGTTTGTATGCATCCTCAACGTTACGCCCTTACACCTCAATCCAAAGTGCACGCAACACCTTGGAAGCATGATGGGTTCTTCAAAGCATTTTGGGGTTTTCCTTTCTTTGACAACTTGCCAACTTCAAATGCAGAGGGAGGACATTTCTGCCCGCAACAGTACATTACCTCGTGCATCTTATCTGTCGAGCGCAGCATGTCAAACATGTTTGGTCATGAGCGAACGGTCAGCAACTGGGCTCGAGCGCCCGTGCATGGACAGGTCCGTGGTAGCAGCTGCGGGGACGGGATCGCTTTCAGGGGTAATCCTGAATTTGGTTGCCCAGGCCTTAGCCTCTCCCCTGCCTTCCGCTCCCCTCCTGGAGTGCCCGGTGTGTATCGAGTTCCAGCCTGGGGACCTAGACTTTCGGTCTTTGGGGCTGGGGTTGTTGCTTGGCATAGCCATTGGGCCTTTGATTGACCTGCTCTACGGAATCCGAGTGCTTTGGCGGAGAGCCGTGGCCCGCTTCTGGGGTTCAGTGGCAAGGCAGTATCCTTATCCCTTGTACCGGGTGCATGAGTGATAAGGAGGTCCAAGAGCTGCGGAAGGAACTGCGACTGCTTCAGAGTCAAGTTGCTGCCTTGCAGATTCGAGTGGCCGAGCTTGAAGGCTACGAGGTGATCTCTTATCCTGCTGGGGAGTCTGGCTCGCCCCCTTGTGACGACAGAGCTCCTCAAACAGCGGCAGGCTCGGCTTCGGCATCTTCTGAGGTGGGCGCTGCTTCCAGCACCACTGCGCCTGGACCTGAGGAGGGAAGCAGTGTTCAGTCCTGGGAGTTCCGCCTCGAAGTTGCTAGGGAGATCGGTTCCTTCCTCAGACGGGCCGTCGAAGGTGGCAACCTTGGAACCTCTGGAAGGCAGAAGGTGACCTTGAAAAGCCGCCTCTACATCATCGTGAAGGACCGCTCTGGGAACCTCTACACCGACCCCGTGCGCATCGAGAGAACTTGGCGCTGTGCAAAGGCTTTGGTGGAGAAAGACGGTTCCTTCAGCGACGCCATATTCGTTGGAGTCCCGAGCGAGTGAGAGGCAAGAGCGGCTGTGGCTTCGGCAGGGTTCATTTGGCCCCCCGCTGAGGCCTGATGTCCGAAGAAAGTGAGCAGGACGAGGGCGTCAACGTCCGGGACGCCTTTGTGTTCAAGGAAGGCCGGACAAATAGTTTTTACAAGGTTGGCTCCCTGGCTGGCTCCGTGGCTGGCGAGAGCAGCGCTATCATCTGCATTGCTGAGCTGGGCGGCCGTTGCATCGTCGCTGTGCCTGGCAACGTTTGGTCCAAGAAGGTTGCCAAGCGGAGGCTCGAGAAGACGGCCCTCGGGAAAGCCATCAGCATTGACCTGGTGGCTAGCTCCTTGGCTGATCTTGAGAACCCCTTGCCAGAGGTCCTTATAAAAGCATGGGTCGGCGTCCTGTCGATGCACGACGAGGCCAAGGTCGAGTTCAGCAGCCAAGTGCCCACCTACAACTTCGGCGAGGGCATCCTTCCTTATGCCGAAGCCCTGGTGAAAGTGGCCGACGACCAGTTCGCCTTTACCACGGCGGAGTCTGGTGGAGGGGGCGACGGGATATTCAAACGGATGGCCGTCGTAGAATCTGGGTTGGCCGACATGCGCGAGATGCTGCAGACCCTGGTTGGACAAAAGGCCGGGGCAGCTGGGACTCCGAGCATGGGGGCAAGACCGAAGGCATCGTCGACTGGTGGAAGGAAGGCTGCTGCTGGAACGACGCCGGGAGGCAAGGAGCTCTCTGGCTTGGATCGTGGGACGGTAGCAGCCGCTCGTGCAGCTGGGTTTTTCGAGGAGAGTCTGAGGGAAATGTCAAAGCTCATCGGGGCGAAGCGGGCCCGAGTCGAGGAGAACCCGATCCCGGAGGCCTTGGAAGAGGACGAGGGCGGAGGCATCCTCGACGACTTGGCGGAGGAGCCCGAGGCGCTGGAGGAGATTGCCGAGCAAGACGGCAACACCTTGATGCAGACGGCGGTGGTGCAGCTCACGAAGCTGGTGAGCAACATGGCTCTGGACAAGGCAAAGAAGAGCTCCGATTTGGAGACGATGCTGGACCAGACTGGGAGCAGCGCCGCATCTGGAGACAGCGCCTTCGGTGGGGCTCGGAAAAGCCACGCTACAGCGCTCCGAGCGCTGACCAAAGCTTTCAACGACAGCCCGAGGCTGATTTACGAGTCCATCGAAGGCCAGATGGTCAAGGACTTCGGGCAGACACCTGCCGCGCTGAGTACAGGAGTTTGCTCGGCCCGAGCTTGGCTTTGCAGCCGTTCTCGCTTGGGCAGCTCCCAGAACCGTGTCCGCTGGAGCTGGCAAGTGGGGGGCATCCTCGACGACCTGGCGGCCGGGGAGACAGAGCGCGCCAGAGCAAGGGCTGCGCTTCTACTCGCAGCGGCGGACCAAGCGAGCATTGACGGAGGCAGCTGGGTGGTGTCAACGGTCTCGCTCCTGGAGCCTCTGCCCCCTTATCAGGAGTTCTCGAAGCACATGCTGCCAGGCCCGAGCGAGAGTCAGGTCAGTGCACTCTACGACCCCAGGTGGGCAGAGATCTTCCTGAGAAGCCTCAAGGAGCGGGAGAGCTACAACGAAGCGAAGAAGAAGCTTCAAGCAGCGGAACGCGGCCGTGGACATGCAGGGGCCAAAGCACAGAAGATCCACCTGGAGGCCAGCCGCCCAAAGGCAAAGGAAACGGAGGCAAAAAGTCGGAAGGTGGGTCGGAGCAAAAGCCGGACAAGTGATGCACGAGTGGGCCGAGGAGGTTGGAAGTCGGGACCGGGCTTTGCCTTTTCCCATCTCCTCGAATTCAAGTCCCTTGACTTTTGACAGACCAGCTGCAAAGGAGCCAGTGCACCGGTGTAAAGGGGTACCTCGGCTTTGCCCTTCGTCAGGCCTACCTGGAAGAGCAGGACGAGATCCCGTTCAGCATGTACCCGGCTCCTGTGTTGGACCTGTAGATCCCCTTGAAGGTTTTCTTCGTATTGTTCGTGAAGTTTTCCGATGCCCCCGTCTTGGGCAATTTCTTAAGAGCTGTTTTCGCAAAGCCGAGCCAGAGAAAGCAACTGGCGGACCAGGCAAAGCTCCAGGAGAAGGTTCCTGGCCTATGCCCATGCCCCACCCCAAGGCGTTCAGCGCAGATCCCAAAAGCTTAGCGCCGGGAGAGCTCAAGAAACTCTTTGTCAATGTGCAAGTCTGCCTGCTGAACTTCCTTGACCTAGGTAGGCCTTCCCGAGCACCACCATGTTGTGTCATTGGTGGCACTCTTTCGGAGAAACAGTGGGAAGCTGTGAAGCGTTTCGAGAGTTTCCTTGACGCCTGGTTTGAGCTGGGTGTCCTCGGCGCCACAGACATGGGGAGAACTGCCGGCAAAATAGAAGACTTGGAGAATGCCCTTCAAAAATTGAAGCAGCTGAATGCTGGCGGTGGTTCTCCTTCTCAGAGCGGCAGCCCAGAGCTTGGACGGCTTGGTGGTTCAAAAGTGGGCACCATCAAACCTGTAGAGTCTGACCGATTGCAGTTTCGAGGTTTCCCAGATTTTGACCCCACGCCTTTTCTGGATATGCGTTCCAAAGAAATCTATGAGCACCCCTTCGAGCACTCTATCGATCCTGATGAACACATGGGTCCAGTTCCTCATTTCAGAGTCCATTGTTCGCGCGAGGAAAGACTGAAGCTCTACCAGCTTCTGGACAAGTCCAGGCGCATCAAGCTCTTCACGGAGGAGCAGGTCAGACACAGGTTTGGATCAGGAGTGTTCTCTGTTTTGAAGTCCATGGAGCTTGACCGTTTGATCCTTGATTCGAGGCCACATAATCTTCTTGAAAATCCGCCGGGGAGATTTATTCAAACGCTCGGGTCAGGAGAAGCACTTACCCACTTGCGCTTGGAGGGCGGAGAGCGATTGTACATCAGCAGCAACGACATTTGGGATTTTTACCATTTGTTCCATGTCAGTGCAGACCGTTGTCGGAGAAATTGTTTGGTGGGCACAATAAATCCCCGAGAAGCTTCTTCACTTCAGGCTTTTCGACCGGATCTCTGGAGATCCGACAAGATCTACGTGGGCCTCAACTGTCTCGCGATGGGGGACACCCAGGCTGTGGAGATTGCTCAGACATGTCATGTGGGGTTGTGCACGCAAGAAGGCATAATTGATGAGCAGAACTTGGTTGCCATGAACCTTGCACCGCCTAGGGGAAAGACCGGCTGTGGCATTGTGATTGATGACTTTGTTTCCTACTCCATAGATGCACGAGACCCAGCTCAGGTAGCTTGTTCACCCACTGGCGCAGCGCAACTAGCCGATAAAGCCGAGAAAGCCTACAAGCGCGAGAACCTCATCCCACATACGGATAAAGCAGAGAGAGACTCCTTGCACGCCCAGGTGTGGGGATGTATGATCGATGGAGAGGCCGGTCTGACACGGGGTTCACTTAAAAGGGCTGCTCCTCTTCTCAAGGTTATTAATGCCGTTTTGGAGATCGGTGCAGTCACTGGTGGAATCTTGGAGATCATTGTTGGCGGCCTCATTGCATTGTTCATTTTCAGGAGGAGACTGTTGTCGTTGCTGAATGAGGTTTTCATTGCTATGAAGGCGAGAGACCGAGACGAGGCCTTCCAGATAGGAGCCGAACTACGTGAAGAGCTTATTCTTTGTGCAGGGCTTCTACCGTTGGCTGTCGTTGAATTGAGAGCAGTGTATTCCAGGGATGTTCATGCTGTAGATGCGTCGAATGTTGCCGAAGCAGGAGTGACTTTCGAGGTAGGAAGCAGCTTCACAGCCGAGCTGAGTAGACACTGCCTCCGCAAAGGTACGTGGACGAGATTACTTGCTCCCGCTGCCGCGCGAGAGAGGATGCACGGCGACTTGGAACCACAAGACGAATTACCAGGCGGAGCTGAATGCGCCTACAAAGCTCATCCACCGTGGGTGCTGCTTTCAAGGTCTGGTAAGTTCAAGCTCCGTTGGAAGAAAGTTGTAAAGCGCCCCCGACACATCAACATAGGAGAACTTCGATCGTTTCTGAAGTCGGAGAAGCTGGCCAAGATCAAAGGAAAGGCCACTCGTGTTGTCATTGGCGGCGATTCTCAAGTTGCTCTAGGCTGTCTTCTAAAAGGTCGGAGCGCTTCCAGTCATCTCAATCGAGAGTTACAAGCGTCACTCCCACATGTACTAGGCGGAACCAGAACCCTACGCCCGGTCTTTCTCGAAGCTTGAGCAAATCGGGCAAGCTCCAAATGAACAAAGCCCAAGGGTTCTCAATCCAGAATGGAATGTGCAGCTGCAAACAGAGATCAGCAATTTCTGCGACAAACTTTGCAAACTGATTGCCTTGATCTACTTTAGCTTGCGGATGCGCAGGCAGTCCTGGAATGCCTTCTGGAAAAATGGAGCTCCTCCAGGCTGGGGTGATCGCTCTTGACAAAGACGAGCAAACCGGAGCAGCTCCTAATCCCAGGACGGAACCGTTCTTTAAGAGGTTTTTGATTTCCTCCTGTACTTCCGGATCCAATAGATCCTGCTCTGCTGAATCCTTGATGTCATATGTTAAGACCCAGCGGCCTGTCAACCTCGCCAGTTCGATAGCCACTCCGTGATTACCTGAGAACAAGTCAACGTAACCAGGTCTGCTGATCAAGGAGCTCTGGTCAACCCCCTCAGGTACAGTGAGGCTGCCATGGAGCAAATGGCCAAGCTTATTCAGGCAAGGAGGCAAGTTGGACCTTCTCGGGTCCTTCTGCGCAGCAGCAATGGATTCAATGGAGGGTTGCTTGAACAGGCACTTCAGCGTGGAGTTGCGGGCCTTCTTCAAGTTTCTCTTCTGAGTCCTCAACTCTCTCGGCCCGCTTTTACGTACTTCTTCGAGATCTGGAATCCCTGAAAGAGACCAAGGATCTGACCCCAAGGCCTCGAGCCATCTATCTAAGCCAGTGAAGTCTCCGGTCATCGCCTTCGCCCACCATTCCGGCAGAGGATCCAAAGGAGAAGGAACTTCCTGACAACGCGATGGCCCATCCGCAGGATTTACAGAAGTGGGGATATAGATGAAAAAGCTGCTTCTGCAGGTTCTCCACACCTTGGAGAAAAAGGACTCGAGTGCTCGCAAACACTTGTCTGCGTAACCAGCGAACTCTGTGCGCGGGATGTGAAAAACATGTCCTTCTCAGAGGTTGGTGCAAGAAGCGCAAGCAACTCTTCACCAAGCTGGCCGAACCCTATCCGAAGGCGTTGAGTACTACGCTTGCAATGGCACTTTCGGGAGGCTCTGGTGACCGCCCGGAGTTTCGGAAGCTGGATGCCAACGCTTGCGCCAGATGCGCCAAAGGGAGGATAGGCGAAGCCAAGAACCCTGGACCAAAGAAGACCACGGCAGCGGAGCGGGCCGCCGCCCGAGCCGGGCAACGGATCGGATCCGTTGAACTGGTGGACACCAAGACTGTCAAGCTGGAGGCGAAGCTCTGGGACGGCTTCTTGGAGTGGGTCAGAGAGGACTCCGACGAGCAGACTGTCGAGCTTCTTGCCTCTACTTCGGCTACGGTGGCTCCGCTCCTTGAGCTCTACGGTGACCACTTGTTCCGGAGTGGCGCTACTTTGTCAGCTTTTCGGCACTTGGTTGCTTTTGCGTTGCGTAAGTTTCCCGACTTTAAGTTTCATTCCAAGATTTGTTGGGACTTTATTACTAAATGGGAAGCCTTGGAGCCGCTTGTGCATCGGCTACCCTTTCAGCATGCAAAGCTATGGCGGCTCTCGCCCTGGGCTGGAAGTGGTTCAGATTTGCTCTGGTGTTACTGATAGCCTTTCGAGGTATACTACGGATTGGTGAGGTCCTTCGGGCGACTAGAGGCGACTTGGTCCTGCCTTCCGATCTGCTCTCCGACAGAGTAGAGCGGATGTACCTCAGGGTGCGAGAGCCGAAGTCGAAACGCAGAGGCGGTGGCCGCGAGCAGCACGCCACCATACTTGACACGGAGCTGGTCAGTGCTTGTGAAAAAGTGTTCAAGAACCTGGAGCCAGAAGTCTTCCTGTTTCCCTACTCTTCCCACACGTTCCGGAGGAGATGGGACGAGATTCTGCGGACGCTTGGAGTTCCCACTGACCTCGGGCTGACGCCCGGCTGCATTCGTGGCGGTGCAGCTGTGCACGCGTACCAAACAGGTGTGCCTGTGCAGGACCTGCTCTGGAGGATGAGAATCCAGCACCTCGCTACTCTGAAACACTACCTCCAAGAGATGGCGGCGGAGTCGGTGCTGGGCAAAGTTTCTGCAAGTACGCGGCGCAACATTAAAGTTTCAGCTTCCATGCTTTCTCCTCTTCTTTCCTCTTTCTGACAGCTGCTTGGGTGCACGGTTCGTCCATGCAAACGCGCTAAATGATGGCGCCTTCTTGTCCCAGAAAGGGCCACAGAGTGATGGTTGGGGTCGCAGCTCACGCCGTGCACTTCCTTGTACTTGAAGTGTGCTTAGCTGCCGTTTGAGACCAAAACTTTGTCGGCTGAAAGCAGCAGAAGGACCGAGTGAGGGAGTGGCCCAACATGCTTTTTGAATTCATGCATTCGCAGCCTTGGAAAATCTTTAAAGGATATATTGAGCAGTTTGCCTAGAGACTTTTCCGGGAATTTGAGGAAGAGAACATGGTTCGGAGCTTCTCTTGAAAAATGCTTCCAGACTAGATTTGCTTCCCAGGCACCGCAGCTCAACTGGCCAGCTTCACAGAGTCGTTTTTGGGATGTGCTAGACTGCAATGTTTGACGTATGCTTGGTTTCATCTTCTATTCAAGTGTGCATTGAACAGGGCTGTTCGTTTTGTATTGAGCGGTGGTGTTTAGCGGTGCGTTGCAACCTAGCTTTGTACGAAGAACACTTGTTAGGTCGCCTGATGACACAGGAAGCAGCTTTGGCCTCAGCCTTGGCAGAGAACGCTACTAGCTCCAATTCTGTTTGGGACAGATGCAGGCGT